CACTCTGCCACTCGGTAACGGAGATCATGCCGCAGGCTGCCAGGGGCCTTCTGGAGTTGAAGCCGGCCGGGTGAGGAGCACAGAGAACCTCACCTGTACACGCTAAACCGGAAGCTGAACCTTGGTAAGTTGTGAAAGGAGCCTCTGGTAAATCATTAACTCTCCCTCCACTCACACACACACAAAGGGCTGCTGAAGGCCGCAGCCTTCCTTCTCCTGGTTCTTCCTAGAGGGCAATGCCACTCCACGGCTGGCCACCTGGAGCATCTTGTACCCCTTCCTGACTCTTCTATTGCTTCCCCACCCCCGCCCTTGGGTTGAGGTCAGTTGCTTCCTACTCCTGCACAAAACTTGGACTGTATATAAAAGAACTGAGACCTAGGGGTCCCCAAGCTCTTCACTGGGTTTGGTGGAGCACGTAGGAAGAGTTGGAAGCTGTGTTTCTCTTTGGAAAAGCACGAAATTCATCTTGTAAGTAGTTTGCTTGTTTTGTGCTAGTACCCATGCTATACCCTAGGGGGCGACAAGCAGCCGAGTAAAACTTGCCGTGGCTAGTCTCAGTCAGGGGAGTGCCAGACTGAGTTAAATCTAGGACAAAAGCGCCCCAGAGGAGTTAGGCGATGAGGGCTCCGACCTTCTTTTCCCCAGCTTTGGGCTGTGGGGTTGAGTTATAGGAGTTAAAAGATGAATTTGGACTCGGGATGGGGCTGGACTCCTGAGGAATCCTGGTTCTGGTCTACCTACCAGTTGTGTAGATGTGAGTGCACCCTCTTCTCCCTCTGTGGGCCTGAAAAGGAGGAGTGGATGGCTCCTAACATCCCTTCTCCCACTGTAGAGCAGTGTCTCCCACACGCATTCGACCCAGCCCCCTTTACAATGTGCCCTCTGTCCTGAAATGAAGTTCATAGATGATATGACCAATCTCCACACATCATTTTAAAAATGCAAATAAAGCTAATTATAATTTAAAAAATAAGTTATAATAAAACATGATGTCCCCAATATATAAATGCTTAGGCAAGACTCAGCAGAAGACATAAATAAAACAGACAGATTACTGGCACTTGTATATAATAAATACACTTGAATTTAAGAGAAATAGAAGACCAGAGCCATTATGTAATTTTTAAAAAACCAGATGAGTAATAAGGAGTAAATACTATTGTAGACTCAAAATTCATGTTAAGTAAGTAGTAACAGACAAGATGTACTTGCACATAAAAAGGGGGAAATAACCTAAATTGAAGTAGGAATAATAAAGCAAGGCAAATTAGAGATGGCCAACTACAGAAAACGAGGAAGCACAATGTGGGTGCAGAGGAACTGCTGTGTTGTTAAGGCAGCTCCCTATGTTATGGCCTTGTGTGCGGCCAAGGGGCGTATTGCAGACACATGAACCTCCGTCTTAAAACGTCATCATGTGTTGAAGTAAAATTCAGTCTGTAGGGTCTTAAAAGACCTTGGAGCTCATATATTAATAGACAATGGGGAATAAAAGATGGATTGGAAAGAAAAATGGTGATATACGTGATTTAAAGCAATTGAATGTAGGCCCCTGACACAGTGTCAGAGAAAGACCAAAAAAAAAAAAAAAACCCAGGCAATTCCCTAGAACATTTTTTTTAAATATTTTATTTATTTTCAGAGAAGGAAAGGGAGGGAGAGAAACATCAATGGGTGGCTGCCCCTCACCTGCCCCCTACTGGGGACCTGGCCCACAACCCCAGGCATGTGCCCTGACTTGGAATCAGACCAGCGACCCTTTGGTTCACAGGCCAGCACTCAACCCACTGAGCTACACCAGCCAGGGCCAGGGCACATTTTTAAAAAAACACACATAATCCTTACAACGTAGGTGTCGATCCCAGGGCTGCAAAAACTTTAAAAAATATAAAGGATGGCAATAATATGAAATAATTTTTAGAAATAGTGATTAAAGAGATCCAATGAAACCCCCTGTGTTTCAATTGTCTTTGCTTTCATGCGTTTGAGTCTCTCAGAGCTCCTCTGTTAAATATCTACGTTCAGTCTCTTATTCAGTCAAAAACTATTACATTGGGACCATTGCCAAGCAAATATACAGGGCTGAAATGTTATAATATATTGTATAGACATAATGTATTGTGGAGTATATTACTCAATAATTTTGAGACAATTTCCTTTAAGTTACTTCTTTATAATAACCATCTTCTAACTTACTGAGTTATTCAGGAAACAAAAAAACTTGGAAGCTTTAAAAATGTTTCAGTGCTACTATGAATTGCACACTTATATGGTATCAGGTGAAGTCCACTTGCACACTATAAAGTTGTGTAGGGTACAAGGTCAGTGATTATTGCGGAAATCAGTCCTGTGCATCGCAGCTGCTAAAAACCAGTAAGAGTTTTGCCCCCTTAGCCCTGAGATGACTTGGGCTCCTCCCAAACTTTCCAAAGTCCCCCCAGGGACACGAGTGGTGTCACCCTCGTTGAAACCACTGGTCAGTTAAGAGTTCTGACTCTAAAGTCAGAGTACTCTGGGCTTCCTCCGAGAGACCTTGGACATCTTACTTATCCTTTCTGTGCCTCAGTTTCTTGGATAATGATAGTACCTCTCACATAAAGATAAAACAAGGATTAGTGAGTAAATTCATGTAATGGGCTGAGGACCAGGTACCTGGCACATAGCAGACACTTTGTGAGTCATTGTTATTACTCTTCTTGTCACAGTGCTATCATGTGTCGAGGTAAAATTCAGTTTGTAGGATCTGAAAAGGCCTTGAGTAATTGAGATTACTCTTCTTGTATAGTTGTAATAATTACCGATGTTATTAACATTATTGTTATCAGTATCCTATTAACTGCTCTTACGTGAAACACTTCTGCTCTCATTTTGAGCTTCGGTTCTAAACTGCTTCCACAGGTGTACGAAGCTGCTTGGGGTGCCTCTCCCCCAGCCACGGAGCCCGTGTGGGAGCTCTGAACTGAGCTCTCCTGAAACGGGCCCTCCTGGGCTGCTTCTCAGGTGGCAGCCCTGGGTGCTGGAGCCAGGCCCAGAGGGATTTCCCCTGCCCGACCTCTGACCTCATGCGGAGGAGCCTCTTCCTGTGGGCAGTGCCTGAGGGGAGGGTTCCAGCCCAGGGCTGATCCTTAGTCTGTGGCACCCCCTGCCCTGGCCACCGTGGGAAAGGCCTGGGGAAGCGTCCTGTGCCCTGGGGCTAGAGGAGAAGTGGAGCGGGGAAAGACAGCTCAGAGGGCTAAACGGCAGGAGCCCTGGTGACGTCTTTAAGTGAAGGGGGAGGCATTGAGAAACATGCTCCCTCTTCCTTCATGATGCTCCTGAAGGAGGTCAAGGGACCACACAGATCACCACCTCCTCACATTTGTAAGAGAATTCATACTTTTCGAGTGTTTTTCTTCTATTCTCTCATGAATTTCTTGAGAGCGCTATAATGTGGGATAAATAACCCCATATCACAGATGAGGAAACCGGAACTCAAGGATTTTAGTGACTTGTGCAAATCTTCATAGAGCTACCAAGGAGCCGAGCCTGGAGTTGAGCACCATATAATCTTCTCTCCAATCGGTCTTAGCAACGTGGGGGCCAGCCCTTCACTGGAGGCTCAGGGGTGAGAGGTGGGGCCGGCCCAGTTCCCTGGCAACAGCAGGCCGAAGATAGGCTGCCTTCCTGACACTAATATGCCATCATTCAAGAATAAATAAATGGCCACACAATTGCAGAGCACCACTCCTAAAAGGGCATTCTGCTAGCTGCTGTTTTATTGACATTTCCTGAGTGCCACCCCCTTTTACGGCCCAGCCTTTCTCCATTTGAGGGCTGAGCTGGGCCCCAATGTGGAGGGGACAGGGACCTGTGGGCATCATCTCTGGAGAGGAGCCAGCCTTGTCTGCAGGTACAGTGACACCCAGTGGTGCTCTGTGCTCTCTCACATGCCACCTTCTCTCAGGCCATGGGCTCTGGCCTCCCTGCGGCTGCAGATACGGATGCAGCCTGGGAATTGACAAGTTCTGCAATACTCCTCCCCGACCAAAAAGGCCTCTGTCTTGAGCCCGCACCTGGTCCCAACCTTCCCTGATTCATAAAGGACATGAGGGTTTATAGCACTCCCTGAGATCTTACAAAGCCCCCCAAATAGTCACTTCATTTGCACCTATTCCACTAGCCCCTCAGGGATGAGGACAGGTGTCTGGGGTTCAAAGCCAGCCATTAGAACCAGACCAAGGCAAAATCACAAATTGGAGGAAGCTTGCCTTCCCATCTCCTCTTTCTCAATTTTCTTCTGTTCCTTGAACTATGAACACCTCCCTCTCTCCCCAGACATCCTGCATGAGTCCAGCTGAGGCCCACCACTGTCCAGCCCATAGAATTTATAGGGCTTCTTGACTCATTGTTCACAGAATTCAACTTGAGAAGCTTTAGTTCAGTCTTCCAACACTGTCAAAACTGATAACCACTGACTGATTACCCGCCAAGAGAAATAAACCAAAGGCACTGAGGCCAGATGGAAAGAATTTGGATAGCCTTTCTGACGCCCCCTCCCCAAATCATAGACCTTCTTGTACCCTAAAGTAGAAATGCAGGGCATTTTGTAGTAATCCAGAAAGGCTGAGAATTATTTTTCTTCTCCTACTGTCCTACCCTCAGCCTCAGAGACCAAATCAAGGAGAAAGTTCAAGGGCGTGAAGCATCTGATACTCCCAGTGTACAGGACGATGGGACAGGCCTTGATCTGGGGCCACCGGAGCCAAAAAGATGGTTGTGGTGTTGGCAGCACGCCATCAAGCCCGGTGCACAGAGAGGTACGCAGAGAATGCGGGGTTGCTGCCTGGGCAGGGGGGGCAGCTGTGCAGCCTGATGCAGAGGGTTGGGCTGGGGGTACGTATGCTTTGAACCCAGCTCTGCTCTTAGGAAGGCCTGGCCCCAGCGCCCCCATAAATTGCCATGAACCCTGAGGCCAGCCACAAGCAGACATGGACACAGAATGTGAGAGACACGCCATTTGTACAAACCATTTTATTTCCTGCACTGGGTCTATACAAACTTGCAATATACAAATGCAGAGCTCCTGGGGTTCTTCAGTCCATTTCTATAAAGAATGCTGCTGAGAGCAGACCCAATGGCTAGACTGTCAGTCAGGATGCCCCTCCCTGGGGGAGGGGCCTTGATGGCTAGAAAGATGCTAAAGGGCTGCTACAGCTGCTTGTTCCTCTCACAGAAATGCCCTCTCTTTATTTAACCTTAATTCTTCTTCTAAGGTCACTTTTATACTAAATAAAGACAATGAGATCATACATATCCTTGTATGGTTTATTGTCTAATACTAGCAAATCAGATTGGCCCCAATATGTGCATAAATAGATAAATGTATATATGTATATTTCATATTTTTTCTTAGTTTTAAGAGCTTCCTGGTTGGGGGCAGTGCCCAAAGGGGAAAGGAATTGGTTTCCTCTTGCTGTATCAGCCCTGCCCCAAGAACACGCCTCTCACCAAGGCAGAAGGGCAAATGTGCACAGCTTGCAACCTCAGAAAATCTTTAAAGTGACAGTAGCAATATTTGATGGCAGCCTGTTGGCTATGGATCAGGGAGGTAATGTGCTAATTGGGAAGGATCTAAATTAGTAACTAGGACTATACCCAGGTGGGTTACTCAGTCCTGGGCCTCCATTTGGGCCCCATTCATTCACTGCAAGATGCTGTAGGCTGGGAACTGGGGCCAGTAAGTGTCAAAAGCTGGGAGGTCAGGCTTCCAGTGCTGGCAGGAGCTCTGTGCTAGGTTCCAAACCCCCAGATTCCAGATCTGGACACAAGATTTCCATCTTTCCTAAATCTGTAAAAGCAAGAGCTGCTTGCCCACTTTGACAGTTGATAAGCAGTTTGGAAGGCTGAGCTGCCTCAGTTCAGCACCCAGGGGCAGGCGGCTGCAGAAAAGTCCTGGGGTCCATGGCCAAAGCTGAGCTGCTACATCGTCTGTGGGACCCGCCTCAGCCCAGAAACTGACTTTGCAGTCTGGATGCCAGACCAAGGTACCGGGCCCTTAACAACAGGCGGCCCCAGAGGGAAACAGATGCCGCAGATGTGACGCAGACTAGAGAGAGGACAAGTGAAATGGAGTGTGCGAAGTCCAAGGAACTTGAACAGTCTGCACAGAAGGACTGGGAATCCCAAACCATGTCCTTTGGCCTTTGCTCCATACCCTGGGTCTGTCAAGGAACAGACTGACATTCTCAGTGCTGTTTGGCACAGGCTGCCATGAAGCTGCCCGCTCCTTCCAGCAGGGTGATGGGGAAGGAGGTTCCAGAGCACATCTAGCAGTTGGGTGCCGCGTGGGCGTGCCTCTGAACACACATAAACACTTTCCTCTGGCGGAGGCACGTCCGATAGCCCTAGAGGGTCATCACGAGTGGATGGTGTAATCAAATCCTTAGACCAGGACTTCGCAGAGTGTCCTTCCCTGGCAAAATGTTCTCTGGGTGAGCTCTGGGGCCGCCCCGTGCAGACGGGGAGAAGGGATGGGTAAGGGGGGGCTGCTGGGAAGAGGGAAGGGCGGAGGGCTGGGCCCAGGGGCCGCCACCCCAGTTCCCTCACGTTCTTCACCGAGTCCATTCAGACATTGCACACTTGAAAATAGATTTGCTTTATAATAAAAGCGTAAAATCAATCTGTCTTAAAATAAGTCTTTCTTTCCCCTTCTTTGGATCAAAAGTCATGGGGTACAGCTGCAACATGCTAGGAATGATATGGAAAGTAAAAAAAAAAAAAAAAGAAAGAAAATGAGCCTGGGTAGGAGTTCTAGGAAAGGATCAGACATCCAAATATATATATATATATATTACATATATATCTATAATATGTATAATTTCCATAAAACATATATTAAGGCATGTAAAGCAACATAAAGGGCCAGCTTTATGAAATAAGAGCTGAGAGAGGTGACAGACATATAGACATTAATCCTTGGTATTTTACATATATTTCTTAAAATATAATTTTTTTTAAAAAGGAGAGACACAAATGAAGGGGAAAGCATGGAAGGCCCTGAAAAATCTGTGTCTTGTGGATGGAGAAAGGTGGGGAAAGAGGGAGAGGGTTACCTCAGAGCCAGCGCCACCTGCCGGCCCGGGGGCAGAGGGACAGTTTGGGCTGTGCTAATGATGAGAAATGCAGCCCAAAACTTGCTAGAAGTAAAGACAAGTGGAATCCCCCCAGTCTGTAATCCCTCAGAAGCAGGAGACCATCCTAGGTACCTAGAGTAGTGCCTGATATGTAAAAGGTGCTCAGTAAATATTTGTTGAATGAACTGTCACCTTTACTTGCATATGAACCGGTAACTGTCCCAGCCCTGAAGGAGTGGAGAAGAATTGGTGGAAGATAAAACAGTTGTTCTCGGGGCCACTGGAGGTCAGGCTGGAGTCTCAGGGCAGTGGCTCTGGCAAAGAGGGGGCCTGGGGACCCAGGCGGTTTGGCTGCATCCTCTCCCCTTCTTCTTCTCTGGCTACATTCATCTCAAGGTGGGTGACGCAGAGAAGAATGCGTTTGCTTCTGCCTGTCCCTCATAGGTCTCCCTGGGCAGGTGGATCCTGAAAGAGCCAACCTAGAAGGATCTCTGGGACGGCCTCGGCTGGTCTTCACCTGGGACGCCTGGGACGTGGGGCCTGGAGCCTGGCCTTTCAGGGTCAGACTGCATTCCCTCTCGCTGAACATGTTCTCGCTGGCCCACAGCACATTCCAGAAAGGTCACAAAACACGGTTAGGAAAGATCCCAAAGCTGACCACAGCCTGCATAAGACAGGTCCTTCTCTCTGTTCCCGAGACCAGGAGGGGAGGCACATGCCAGGCCCAGACCTACGAAGGGCCGTCTACGTCCCAGGCTGTCCACGTCCCAGGCTGTCCTACCAGCCCTCTCACTCCCAACCCACATCCCCAGGCCAAGTGCTTCAGCTGAAGGTAACCGTGCACTCACTGGTGAGGCTTCCTGGGGCCCTGGCATCAGCACGCCTGCCCGCTGACCCTGGGGACAGTCTGGCACTGTCCCTGGCTCCACGCTAAGGCTCACCTCAGGAAACCATTCCCATCCCCCCTTCCATCTCTGTCCTCTTACTTGCAAATGAGTCCTGCTGCTCTTTCACTCCCTTTTCTAGGACCTCTCCCTTCCTCCCTCCTCCCCTCCCAACTTCCTCCAGACCCTGCACAGACCTGCTGCTCTTTCCCAGCCTGCACCACCCCCTCTGGGGGCCCGGGAGTCTCCCCATCTCTCGGCACCTTGTCTTTGGCTCAAGCAGGGTGGTCAGTCTCCACTGAACTGCAAAGGGGCACCCATAAGCAGAGATGTGTCAAAGCCTTGGGTAGAGCTGGGGCAGTGTCGGGGGGGGGCAAATGGGGGAAGAGGAAGATGGCAGGTGCTGTCCTTCCTGTCAGGAAGGGCTGGAAGACGCAGAGTGCTCACCTTCTCTTCACCTCTAGTCCTACCCCAAGGTCACCCAGAGCAGCTTTCCCACCACCGTGTCTTCTCCATCAGGGAATGTTCTAGTGGGGCCATCGCGACCCCAGCCAGAGTCAGGCCCAGGCTCCCTGTGACTGGGGCATCAGACAGGGTGCTCCCCACCCCACCATCTCGGACTCTGGCTGAGGACCACCATCCGAGAAGTGAGGGCTTCAGGGCCAGGTGTGGCAGGTGTGTGTGGACACCGAAGCACCTGCGCTCCTCTTGGTAGCAGCCCTGGCCCCCGGCCTGGCAGCTGGCAGTTTTCCCACAGGTGCCTGGGGGGCTGGGGCCAGGGTGGGGCCGAGACCGCAGGAGGGCAGAGGAGGGCTTCAGCAGGTGGCTCTGGGGAGCTTCACAGCGTTGGCGGCAGCCTGGGCTTGCACTGAAGAAAAGATAACTGGGGTAAGAAAGGTGCCTCACAGAGCAGACCTCAGACAACTCTTCCCAGCAGAGACACCTCTGTCTGTGAAGGCCTTGTGGGAACCCACCCCACGCCCTCAACCCTGAGAGGGGCAGAAATACCTAGACGTGAACATACTTCTCCACTTGCCTGATACTGAGTGGCTGTGTGCTAGAGGTAAGGAGGGTGCACAGCCTTTGGCTATAGATTCCTATGTTATTTTAATTACAGTAAGGTCTGGGAGAAACAGCTTCTGGGTGCCCCCGAGGCAGGGCTGCTGTGTATCTCAGCAGATGGAAGGCTTGTGGGCTGACAGGAGGACAGCGGGGTGTCTGAGGAGTCCCTTCCCGAGAGCAGACACGGGAGGCCTCAGCCCTGTTCCCTGTCTGCTTTCCCAGAAGCGAAGCCTGTTGGCATTGCAGCATCCAAGCAGCAGCCCTGCCAGCCAGCCCTAGTCCAGCACTGCACAGGGACAAGGGGGCTCAAGCAAAGGGATGGCGAGGAGAAGGCAGCGTGGGCGCTGGGGCCGAGGGGAAGCAATGCTGGAATGAGGTGTTGCGGATGGCTCAGTGGGGCGAGGGCGGGGCTCCCGCTCCCTGGGGAGGATGAAACACAGTAGAAGAGTGCTTACGTCAGAGCTCAGACCCGCCTGGTATGGCTGCTGTCGGCGCCCCGTGGGGATTCAGACGGTAGGGGGTTGGCTGGTGAAGTCAGGGAAGCAGGGGAGGTGGGAGGGCTTGGGGTGGAGCATTGCACTGGAAACAGAAATGAACAGGGAAGTGAATCGGGGTGGGTGGGGCGAGCAGGTGAGGCCCTCCTCCAGGTGGGCGGGAGGCAGGGCAGGAGGTAAGCGGCAGGAGAGCTGAGCCTGGGGACCTGCTCGAGCTAAGGCAGGGCCGACCTTGTTCCAGATGCCGTGGGGAGAGCATGGGACCCCAGAGGAGAACTGGCAGATCCGGGCTCTGCTGAGAACCAGTGTGACTGTGGCGGTGGGCAAGGCCTGGCCTCTCTGGGCCTAAGGCTGCCGTGCCATTGGGACAATGGGGAGGTTTGCACAACTCTCCCCTCTTGTGTGGATAGAATAGGGGATGGCACCTTATCTACGGTGATATTGCTATGATAATGATTAATAGCACAGTAAAATCACACCAATCCAAATCATCAGGCCCCCAATTATGACTAGATCAAAGTGAAGTGATCACCCCATTTGTTAATCAGTTCCAGCACAATGGAGCTTTTTGAGAGGCTGAGAGTGAGTTCCGCTAACTATGCTTGAGAGCTCAGCCTGTGCCCCCTGTGACTCAAGACCCCTTGTCCAATCCCTCCACCCCTGGGCAAATCGTTACAAGCCTTAAAGTGGTGACTTTGAATTAATGAGATTTTACTCTATTATCATGTTGAGAATGAGACGGGAGCTGGACTGTTAGGACCAGCTCTGCAATCTTGGGCCCTTGGACACCCTCTGCCCAGCTCTGAGGCAGGAGGGGGACAGAGAAAATGTCCTCACTCGGGAGGAGAGAAGAGCCAGACCTCAGCCAGGGTCACATATGCTTGCTGCAGGAGAGGGGTCCTGGCATAAACTCCCTGCTCAACTCCCTCCCCACCTTGCCCTGGACCTCCTCACCTTCCCTGCCCTCTGCGTAAGTCAAAGGGCCAGCATGCCGCCCATCACCTATTCACACACACACACACACACACACACACACACACACACGTAGCAAAGACTTGGACCTCTCCTATGAGCGGGAGGTTATGTCTGCCCACACACAACATAGGCTTTGTGCATGGGGCCCAGCTAAGCTGTATCTTTACTTGCGGCACACAACTCAGATACATGTGTGTTTCTGCACTTCCACAGGGCCCAGCGCACCTATTAGTTCACATACAGACCCATCACAAATGCTTCTGAAACACACACTGCTGTGCACGTCTGTATCATGGCAGTTAGTCCTCTGGCAACCTCGGCTTCTCAAACAGTCAAAAACTGAACCGCTAGGGCAGGGCTAGCTCCAGGAGGCCAGGTGGAAGGTACAATGTACATGCAGCGAAGCTCTTACACGTCAGTCATAGGAGAGCTCCTTGGAGGCAGTTACCCGTGTTTACACACAGTTCTAGTGGGTGTTGACTGGCGGGGATTCTAACCCATGGGAGAATTAAAACAAGAACATTCTAGGAGAGAGGAAGTAAGAGGCCCACGGACATTCATAAGAAGGTACAACTGAAGAGAGAAAATCTTTTGTAAAAAGTAAACATAATAACTTTAAATGTATAACAGTTTGGGAATATTTAATTAGCCATGAGTGGATCTGAACCAATTACCGCCCCTAACGGCATCCCTTCAACAGAGGTATGCAAAAAAAGGATATTTACGATCACACTAAAGGAGCAAGAGCAGGAAGATTAATTATGTTGAACGTAACCTATTTAAGAAGGCAGAGGAGTCCTAAGTATATATTACTAGAAATACATCCATTGAAATCATTAAAATTCATATATGTGTGAAGTATGTACCTTGGACAGATGTGCAGTTATAATTGTGTGTTCACAAGTACACTGCATGTGCATGCACAGGTAACCAGTCACATGTTCTCACATTCACGGGACTGCGCTCTCCCTTAGGCTGCACACATAGGCAGGGGCTTGTGCATACTGAGATGTGTGCACACTGCACAACATGCGCACACACTCCTACCCTCCCCACACTGTGGACAGGGCCGGTCACACGTGCACACATGCGTTCACAGACTCTGCCTCCACCCTTGGACTGTGCCCCCATGTACACATGTCCACGCTCCAATGGCTCACCAAATACCACCTGTGCACCCCCCCCGGTAATGGATGTCCACACAGCACCCACAGACATTTTGCACACACGCACACAGACACACACACCCCGGATTTGTACTCAAACATCCTTTCCCCCATGCACCACACACTTGAATACACACAAAAACATGTGTATCTACAGATATTGCACATGACCTCAGGCTACACACAGAAACTTAATGCTGCCACATCTTCCCATACACCACGCAACTGAGTCTGCTCACACCGCGTGTTCCTGCCAAACGTCGCAACACTTGTCACTGACCACACTGTCCGCGCCACACCTGCACACTTGGGTGCTAACTCTGCATCCTGTGTCTGCTGCACTGTCCTCACGACCGCGCCCAGCACCCTGTGCGCACAGGCCCCGGCATGAACCTACACCCACACCGTGCACCTGGGAACGGTCCTCCCTGTGCCTGGCAGATCTGCAGCTCCAGGGACCTGGGCCACAGACCATGGATGGTGGGGACAGTGGGCTCAGTCTGAGGGCTGGCCCTGCCATGGCCATTTTTTAAATAATTGGGGTTTTGGCAAAAGTCAGGTAACCATTTGCTTTCAGCGCACAGACCCCGGAATGGAAGCTGGTATGTAGGGAAGGGGAATCTGATACACCAGGTGAGTTTTGTTCCTGTGGAACTTTTGGCTGGGGAACTGTAGTAGAGTGAGCCAGGGGCTGGGGCGGGGCAGGGGGAAGTATTAAAACAGTGTTGTATGCTCTAACCCTGAAACAGGAAGTTTCCTTATGCTCAGAGAGTGTGGAATCTGATCTTTGAAGGGTTCAAGTTCGTTTCACAGCTAAACTACAGGGACATTTGACAAAGGTCTCCTTGACGCTGAACTGGTTCTGTTGCCTTTGGCCATAGGATGGGCTCCATGAGGCCCATCCTTCTCTTGCCCCCAAGTCCAACCCACTGATAGCCTCCTTCTGATACATCTCCAGGGACTTCCCCTGGCCACCAGCTAGTGTCCATTATAACCAAAGTGCCAGCAGGTTCTTCCCTAGGGCTGATTTAAAGCTCCTTCATTGTGGCCTAAAGCCCGTGGTTTCTGAGAATATCCATATTAAAACAGCTTAAAAAAAGCACAAAGGGTCCCTGTTTCCACATCAGCTACCGCCGTTGCACCTGTGCCACCAACGTCACCCAGCACCATCGCTCCCGATACTGGTCAGCCTCCACCGGCACTTGCCGAGGGCCTGGCACTATGCTGGGGGTTTGGCACACACTCTGTCCACTCCTCACACAACCAGACAAGTATTTTGATTTGAACTTCACAGATGAGGAGCTGGAGCCCCAGAGAGCCAGAACTCGAACCCTCTTAATCACCAACAGGAAGTGCCATCGCCTCCACTGATCTCCTGGCCACTGTCCTTACCTGCTTGTGGCCCGACTCTCAGCCAGGCTGCTGTCACTGTGGCCAGCACCCCTGTCTCTGCTTCCTTGACCAAAGTCATCCAACCTAATGTCCTTCCAGGGCATCACTCTTGACTGGCCTTCAAAGCCCTTCCTTGCCCTCCCCTCCTTAACACCTTGTTTTGATGGGAAGAAAATATTTCACCTCCCAATCTTCATGACTTAACCACTATCTTTCCTCTACCTTTCATGCTCCCATTCACACAGTATCTCTTTAAGTCTTCCCCTCTCCATCCATTTCATCCTTGCCAATCATACTCTGATTTACTCCAGGTGATGACTTAGGCTGAGTAGTAGTCCTGTTGACTTTAACCTCACAGTGTCCATTTGGATCCTACTGCCCTTTGTACCAGTGTGAAGTCAATTCCCCAGACCATCATTTCTTAGCAGAAAAGTGGAATGGGGTCAGTAGCCAAAGCGGTGATCATATCACTCTCAGCTCCTGGTTACCTGCACCATTTTCTCTTATTCTTCCTCTCTGCATGCAGCAAGAACGGGAAATGAAAGGGTACCCTGGAATACCTGGCTCTCACACCAATCAAGTCAGTTATCTGTGCCTTTTCCAAACTGCCCAGGTAGAATGGCTCCCTTGCTCCCCACACAGCCTTAGCCATTCCTCCATACAGGGCCCAGGAGGGTCATCACGGCTCTGAGCTCCTGCACATCAGCAACTCTGGCCCCTGTGCACCCCAAGCCTAGCACAGTGCATGGTGCTCAACAGGTGCTTGTCCTGACCTTGAGGAACTGCTCCCTTGCCCTGTTCCTCTCTATCTCTGACCCCTGATAGCACGTGGCTCCTCCCCTGCACACGGTCAACCGTTCTCCCTGGCAGAGCGAGGCCCAGCCCCTCTCACCAGACAGCATGCGGCCCCTGCGGGAGGCCTCAGTCGCCAGGGCACAGGAGATTTCAATCCGCTTCTCCTGCTCCTGCAGCTGGCTCTCTGAGTCCTGGGGTACGTCCACAAGATCCCCCTCGCCGACAGGCACCATGTTCTGCATACTGAAGAGGCACAGACACACAGACATGGTGGGGGGTGGACAGGATGGTCCAATTGGCTTATGGAGGGAACGTGTGAACTGAGGTTGGTGGGGGTGAGGAGGGGAAAGGGCATTGCAGACTCTGGTCCCCAACAAGGCTGTCCCCAGGGGAGTGGGACCTGGCAAAACACATGTTGGGACCCCTACCCACAATGTTTTAAAATGAACTGGAAGGTTCAAGTGAACATTTAGGGCTGCCTCGAAGGGGAGAAGAAGTCATGGGAGGGCAGCCCATCAGCTTGTCTTGATGAGAGTGTGTGCTCAAGCTCAGTGGTCCTTCAGGCGCCCACAGGCACCTTCACTGCCCTGGCCACAGGGCTGGGGCCAGTTCGCTGCCCTGAGCCACCGCCTCCATTTGCTCCACTCTGGGGAGGCTCAGGGTCCCCAGTGACATGGGCTGGAGTCAGTGGCACCTGTGCCCCAGGTGTCCTAGGTGCCAGGTGGGCAGAAGTAGAGGTTTACCCAGGTCAGTTACCTGGACTTGGCAATGAGCGTCTTGATCCTCTCCACCTTCTTCTGCTTCTCCTTCAACTCCTCAGGACTCAGGGGAGTGTCCGGCTCCAGATCAATGTACCGCTCAGGGATGAGGACTTTGTCTGGGGTAGAGAGCTGTGGAGGGACCAAGGTTACCGCCTTCATTCCCCCCAGGGCTTCTGCCCCCCTCCACCCCCTGCACTCTGCTCACCTCCTTATTGATGTCCACGTCATAGTGTTGGGGATCCAGCTCCATCTTGCGAAGTCGGGCAATTTCTTCCCTGGGCGTCTCGTAGGACTGCCCCCCAGACTCTTCAGCCCGCAGGGCCGCCTCCAGGTTGGAGATGTCCACCTCATGTATGCTGCGGTGACGGCGCACCTAGGGGACGTGGGCACCACTGCTACTGGTGCCTCCAGGGAGCCCGAACCATGCTGTGCCCTCGCTGTCCCCAGCTAGCACACCCGATCTGGCTGCCACCCCACTGCTCCCGCTGCAGAGCTGTCCTTCCAAACTGCCTGTCCACAGCCTGCCCACCTGCAAGGGCCTGGAGGTAAAATTCCATCAATGTCTCTTACCAGTACTTGTCACTTACCATCCTGCTGTGCCCTTTGCTCACTTACTGTGACATATTATTTTGGGCAGTTGAGTCAGTGTGTCTTTCATTAATCTCTAATCATTTTGTATTATAGAAGATCCAATCCACTACCCAGAAAGTAAACTGTTTGAGATATTTAATAAATATCTACTTTTTACATTTAATTTTTAATTATTTTAAAATAAAATTTAATATTTTAGATATTTGATTTAAAAATCAGGCAGATGCCTTGGGCTCCCCCCACTCTGCACTTACTGGCTGTGTGGCTTAGACCCCCCTAATTTCCCGTGACTTTGTTCCCCCACTTCTAAAACAGGCCTGATAGTCCCTAAACCAGTGCTGTTGGAAGGACTAAATGAGACGACATGATGAGGATTTATGAGCTGTACTGCGCCAGGCACTGCTGAGCCACCACAGTGACCTTCAGGACACTTGGCCCAGCGCCAAGGACACAGAAAGTGCCCTAGAGACATTTATAAGTGATGGTTACTTCTGGGTGCTGGATTTTATACTATCCTCTGTTAACTGAACTTTCTATAATGTTTTAACCAAAACAATCAAGGCATTTCTTTTGGTGAATTATTTTTCTCTAAACACAAGAAAGGAAATACTTGATGTAGGATCTTTTCTTCCCAGTGGGCAGAAGCCTCCTCCATTCCCCTCGGTGCCAGCCCGGCCCTCCCCTGTTCCCTCCTGTTCTAAACCCCAGGCCACACCCCACTACTCCAGCCCCGGGAGTGTTGGCAGATGTCAGGCCTGTGGGCGCCTGGGAGGACTTACTACTTTGTAGGCCGGCCGGGGGCTGGGGTCGGGGGCCGGGCTGGCTGGGAGCTGCAGGCTTCTCCGCTTCTCCTTCATGGAGCCGCTCTGGTGCCGCCGCATGCGGTCAATCTGCTCCTCCACGCTCATTTTGACCTTGCCCTCGCTGGGGAACACGGCACTCTTGGGGCGCTCCTGCTGCAGCGGGAGACAGGCTCTGACAGGTGCCGCACCCTCCACCCAGCTTTTCCATCTGCCCTAACGCCTTGACATTTTCCTTCTCTGGGCAGCTTGCCTGTAGTAAATGAAATAGTGGCCCCAAAAGGTCTGCTCAAGTCCTGACCCGCAGGACCTGTGAATGTGACCTTATTAGGAAATAGGGTCTTTGCAGGTGTAATTAAGTAAAGGATCTCAAGATCAGGTCATCCTGAATCGGAGTGGACCCTGAAACCAATAATGGGCGTCCTTTGGGGAGACAAGAAGACACACGGACTAGGTGCTGAGAAGATGGAGGCGAGACTGGAGTGATGAGTCCGTGAGTCAGAGGACACCAAGGACTGCCAGCAGCGACCATGAGCTGGGCGAGGGGCACGCAGTGGGCTCGCCCTCACAGCCTGCAAGGGGCCAACCCTGCCCACACCTTGTCTGCAGGCCTCTGCCTCCACGACTGTGAGAACATAAAAACCCTTGTTGCTGTGAGCTCCCAGGTTTGGGGTGTTCTGTTCACTTCCTAGCACTGCCAAGGCCCCGACACGCTGCTCTGGGCAGCACATTTCGCTCTGACCACTGGTTTTTGCTATATTTGTATTGTATCGCTGACATATCATCATAATTTTGTTAAATATTTTTCATCATCATTGTATACATATTCCTTGTCCTTTGATGCATCTCCTTGAAGAAGACCTCCTCCAGGGGGGCCGCTGCCCTTCTCCTGCTAGTTCTGCCTTCTGCCTCCAGCCCTGGGTTTCTTGAACAGCGGCGACACCAGCGGGGTGGAACCACAGAGGCCCCTGGGCTGCCAGCAGGGCTCAGGCCCACCAGAGCTCCCACAGCCTGCAGGTATGTACTCACCTGGGCGGAGAGACCATTGGTGAGCCTGTTAGCATTCCTTCTCACCACCGCTGACGGGGTCATGTCTTCATCGGTGGGCGACTTCGTCCTTGGGGGTACAATGCCAACTGCAGGGAGACAGAGCAGCCACTGGGCCTCGTGGAGAGAGGAAGGCAGAGAGACAGGGGAGCCTGCTTCTCAGAGAGGCTCAGTCTCACCCCCATGGAGAAGAAGGGCCTGGGCAGGTAAGCACTCTCTTTGGGAATGAGTGACACCTCCCCGGGCTCCTCTCTGACCCTCAGCCTTACTTCTAGGGGAAGATGGGTCAGGAAGTACCTTTGTTGAGAGCTGCCTGCTTCTCTACCTCCACCTCTTGCCTGGTAGGCACAAGGCTGATGTCTCTAGAGGTGTCCGGGGGTGGTGTCTGGTGGGGCTCTTTTTTGCTTGGCTCATAGCTTGCCTTGGGCTGGGAAGAGAAAATGAGAAGAGGTTGAATGCTAGAGTGACTGCCGGGAATTGGGCCCCCAGTGATTATTCTTTGTTTAGCAATGGCTGGTGTTCAAACCCTTGAAACAAAGGGGACAGGGATACTCTGTGTGTGCCAGCTATGCAGGGGGCAGGGAGGCATTAGGCTGACCAATGCAAGGCCCTCTTGGGGACCCCCAGACGGCCAATGGCTCCAGGTGGCCCCTCAACCTGATGGGTCCCCTTAGCAAGCATCAAGAAGCACAGACTTTCTGTGAGCCAGAAAGGAGGGGGCAATAAGGCCAAGGGTCTCTGAGGATTCTGTCAGCATCCTACCTAAGACTTGAGCAAAAGGACCAGGTGAACTTCAGTGCCAATATTCTGGGGGCAGGAAAGGGGCACTTAGCTTGTGGCTCACAGAATCATGAGATGACAAAGGACCTTGCACCCCCACCCCTTCCCCTCCACTGTGCAGTCAAAGAACCTAAGCCTTGGTGTGGAACACAGAGACAGAAGCCTAGGCTGGAGGTCAGAAACCTCCACTCTAGCCCAGCTAGAGAGTACAGGTAAGTCCTTCCACCTTCCTTCATCTGGAAAACAGAGGTGCTGTTACCTGCTCTGCCTACTTCGCTGGGCAGACCCTCAAGGTTATATACATGCCAGTAGCTGAGGTGAGAACATGAGTTTACCAGCTTTAGGCACAGGACTGTCTACTCACCGTGCAACCTCTTCCAAGCCTAACTGCCCATCTCTCCTGGATCTTCACTAGGGATCCAGGCGAGAGAAGGGGCCAGAATAGGGGAGAGAGGGGCCTATATTGTTACACTCCAGGGACTGGTAAGACTCAGAGAGGACATAGACAAGGGAGAGACAGAGAGAGCATGGGAGGACTGGAGCCTGGGGTAGACAAGGGCAGCAAATTGGAATGGCACCAGTATGTATGTGGGGGGTCCCTCGATTCCCATCGGCTGGTCATGCTGGTAAGGTGGGTCATACCACCACCTGGAGCCAAGGCCCCCCTGAGCCTGGGCATCAGGTAGGGCAGCGAGCGACTCATTTCCCCATTGTCCACAGAAAGCAAAAGGGGGAAAGAAGGCCTGTGTGAGAGTCTCAACCATCCTTTCCTTAGTCCCGAGTCCAACTAGATAGAGGGTCCAGCAGAAACTCAGGTGTAGGGAAATTAGTACTGGAATGCAGAAATGATTCAGCATCCTGCCTTGCCCCCTCACTTGGCCTTTGGTCCCATTCCCTCCACCCTACCCTCCAGGACCCAAGGGTGCTGGGTACCTGACCCCTGGCTGTCTCGCCACCGGAGTGCCAGGAAGGGGAGTTGGGATATGGCCAGAAGTGGCTCTCATTAGGGAGTGGAGGCACGGTGGGAGGAGACTCCAGGGGGACGTAGGCTTTGGGGAGGGGGGGCCGTGGTGGGCCGGGCTCCTGAGGCAGAGAGAAGCCAGAGCATTAGGAGGAGCAAGAGCAGCCACTGTGAGAGCAGAAAAGAGTGTTAGCAGAGGCAGACAACGTCACTGAGACCCAGGGGGCCCTGGACCACCAAACTCCCACCTATGGCCTGAACTGAGCTGCAGCTGCAGAGCTGACTCTCGGCCCGGCCTTCTAGGCTCTCCTCCACCGAGTACCACCTGGGTACCCTCCCCATCACTCCCCAGTTTTTCTCCAAAGTTCTCTCCTCATTGCTTCACCATCACCCTGGACACCTTTCCACCCCTGTACCTGGGCTTCTATCATCTCCTGCGATGGCTTGTTACTCTACCTGTCCCAACATTTCAGGGCCCAGTTCAAGTTCCACCCTCTCTTTGGGTGATCAGCATTTGTGGTCTGAGCCACATGGCTCAGCATTGAAACACACGCTGCCACATTCCTGAGGCTGTTCACTGTATTTCAGTCTCAGTCCCCACTGGACACTGGGCTCCCTGAGTGGAGGCCTTTGGATGTATGGGTGTCTTTCTAGAGGGTCCTGTCTCCCTCGCCCACAGCGGGGCCTTCATGAACACTTGCTGATTGACTGACTAGCAGACTGCTCCCTACACCAGCCCCCTCTCACTCCTCAGAGCAATCCTGGATTTAAATTTCTATAAAGTGCCTGGTATCTTTGCTATCTATCCTGGTGCTCTTGGAGAGACTTCCCTGACAAGCAGCTAGAGATGGCAGGTGAAGATGAGAACAGGTAAAGGAGAAATCTGGAGAGAAGGTCACACACTGGAGGTGAACGGCTACCTTAGACAGCACCACAGCACAAGGCCCAGAGGCCTCTGGAGAGATGAGCACAGAATTTCCATAGTTTCAGGCAGATGAGGGCCTGGTCCTCCCTCCCCCAACTATTTTCTACTCCATTTTCTCAGCTTACCTCATTGGACCCAGACTTGGTAGGGGACCCTTGAGAGCCAGACACCAGTGAAAACGGGCTCAGGGGGCTGGTGAGGCTGGCGGAGCTGAGAGGGCTGGCAGGGCTATTGGAGCTGTAGGTGGCCGAGGGGCCAAGTCCTCCTTGAGAAAAACAAGAGGAAAAAAGATGAGGGATGGCGCAGGAGGGTGGCTCGGAGTATGGATGGGCTAGGGAAGTGGAGGAGGCAGGGAAGGACCCAAGGACCTGGGAGGGAGGACTTAGTGTCTCAGGGCCACCCAGGCCTGCCAAAGGGACTTCCTATAAGAGCTGGTTCATAGGCTGGGGAAGTGTACTCCACAGGGGAAGATGATGGAAGAATACTGTCTCTCCCAAGATGTCAAAGAAACTCAGCCCCAAGTCCCAAGGCTGAAGGAAGTCCCTGAGGCAGAGGTCTCAGACCACCAAGGTTCTGTGGGCTCAGCAGTTGGAGAGGCTGCGGCACTGTTTGACCTTTTCTGGGGAGGGGTCTAGTGTATTCAGAGCCAACAGCATCTCTGAGCAGTATGTGTGGTCTAGTCTGGAACAAGTGGTAAGGGAGTCCCACCCACCATCCCAGGGCCCGGGAGGAAGGAAGATTCTGGAGCCCTCACAAGGCCCTGACTGGTTTGGGGCACTGCAGAGTTTCTGGTAAAGACAGAAACCCAACAGGCTGGTGGGGAGATGCCCACCTCTGTGCTTGGCCGTGTCTGTGCCCCGAGATGGGTTATTCTTCCTAAGTCCCTCCATCACGTCCTGGATCCTCCAGATCTCCTTCTGGATCTGCCGATTGAGCACCTCATTCTGAAAGAGCCACAGAGCAGGTCAAAGGAAGTGGCTGCCAAGGAGTGTCCCAGCCCTTTCCCTGCATCCCTTAAACCAGAGGTAACAGGAGCCCTGTGCATACAAGCGCATATAAATACACACATACCTCCAGCAAACCGTTACATGCACATATCCTCCAGCACACACACACAGCCTCCAGCACACACACACCCCTCCAACACATTTCTCTTTCTCACAGGTAGCCTCTGCCTCCCCAGCCTCTATAAAATAAAGCTGTGAATTAAGAGTCATCACAGGAAAGAGCCCCTTTAGGTAGACCTGAGAACTCAGGACCAAAAGAGAGTAAGGACTCGCCCTTCAGAGCCCCTCCAGGGGAGGCCAGGGTGGTCTTGGAGTAAAGACCCCTTTAGATGAATATTTTATGGTAGCCTATTTTCCAGGGGAAAGAGATTCCAGTTTCCTGTTTTTCTTTATATCCAAACAGCTCTTCTGTAATATCCACACCCAACATATGCCTAAATACTCATGAATTATATTCAGTTACATCACCCACTCTTTGAAAACTAATAGTCGTCACTTATTTAGCTCCCCCATACCGGGCACTGTGTTAAGTGCTTTGACTAACCCCTTTGGGCAAAGAAGTCTATGAGGCGAGGGCAGCAGCTGTCCCTATTTCAGAGACAAAGGGACTCGGGTCCAACCACCTGCTGTAAGACCAACATCTGAACTGGGGTCTTTTTGTTCCAAGAGCTGGTGCTCCTGATCACAACACTACCCTACCCCCCAAAGTCTGCCCACAGACCATGGTGACATTTGGGTCCTCTGGACCAGGAGGGTCTTCACCTCCCCCTGACCTAACCAGCTGGTGTGGAAAGTGTTGTTACCAGGCCGGAAACAGGAGGAAAACCTGGGAAACCAGGGTTCTGACTGCACCACAGAAACAGGGCTTGCAACACTAGCCAGAGAGAAGGTATGGGGTGTGTGTGCTGGGTAGAGACAAGACAGAGTCGCAAAGAACAAGATGCTCCAAGGTCAGTGTGTCCAGCCTGCTGCCTCCAAACAGAGTGTTTCGAACCAGTTTAAGTTCCTATCTTAAAATACCTGAGTGCATCACTTCCATGTTGACTATACTCTTCTGATGTCATGAGAGATTCATATTTATCTTGTATCTACACATCTGTTAAGTTCTTCCAGTCAAGAAACTCTTGATGTCTGACTGAAGCTCCAATGTTTCTATTTGACTCCATCCCCTGTGATTTCTTGGAAATGAAGAACCTACATTATCTTCATCTTGAAGTTTAAGCATCTGCTTTTAAGTGGCCCCGAACCTTGTCTTTTGTCTTAGAACCAACTCCTCATCTTAACTCTGAAATCTCTAACGCAAGAAAGGAAGCCACCCTGGTCTCCTTTGGCCAAAGCACAGGGAAGACAGACTCAAAGCACACGCCAACCCCCACCTGCCCAGGGCCCTCTTCACCTGGACGTCCAAATTGAGCTGTTCCCAGAGGTCGTCATGCAGGGCAGAGACCTCCGACTCGAGGCTCTCATACTCCATGGTGCTGTTGGTCAGGGCCTACAAGGGGGAGGGTTTGCTGAGACAGTGGCCATTGCCCAGCATTTCTCCTCATCCTGCCACTGGGCCTGGGGCTGCACGCCTGCCATCTGGCAGGTCAGGGAGGAGGGCACAGCGGGCCCAGAGGAGAGTGTGCAGGGCTGAGGCATTCTAATGACAGCCAAACGCCAGCCTCACAGGAGTGGCCCCAGCCCACCCTGTTGCAAACTGAAATATAGAGGGCATGCCGTTCCCTTCAGATATGTGGGTAGGTGGCGTGGGAAACATTGCTCCCCCACACTCCTGTCCTCCGAGATCCAGCAGTTGAAAGTGGAGGACAAGAGGGAAGGAGATAGAGGGAGGACTTGCTCTCCTTTCTGGGCCATGCTTTTCTGGAGCTTTAGCTGCTGTCCCTACAGCTATTATCCAGGCTGTCAGTACCGGAGGGTCTCCCTGTGCTCCATAGGACATGACCAGAACATCAGCATTGCTGCCAGTGTCCTCGGTTTTCAGGAGAGAAGGCAGAGGTGGGCAGCAAAGGTATTAGGGAAGCCAAGGAAATAAGTGGCCCTGATCCCATACCATCCTGAACAAATCCTGGTACAGTTATAGTTGGGAAGTTTGCCAATGTTCATGGAGGCCCTGGAACAAGAAGGCTGACGTGCTGGCTGTCTCCTCAAGGCACTATTCAAGTCTTTGTTTTCTCTGTCCTTCCTGGAGGAACACCCTGCTCTGGCCCTCCAAGGAGAATGGGGTTAGGGGAGCACCACCTGGGAGGGAGGCTCTCCTAATGGGTGCAGACCCGGCGGTCAGTTACCGTTGTAGCCTGAGACAGCTCCACCCGTATGTGGATGAGCTGGTTCTGCAGCGACTCCTTCTTGTGCAGCAGCTTCTCTGGGTAGGCGGGCTGGCTTCCAAACATCTCCAGCTCCTGGTGGGTCCCCATCAAGGCGCTTTCCAGGCTCTCCTGAAGGAAGGCAGGGCAATGGCTATGAGCAGTCCTGAGATCTCCTCTGTGGGACTGTTAGCAACACAGGCCGGAGCCCATGAGGTTCAATCAGGCAGAGTAGTGGTTATCCTCACACTGCCTGAGCTTCCCCAGGAGAGCTTCAGCAGGTCTGACTAAGTATAGGACACAAGTTCAAAGAAGGCAAAGCTCTGTCAATTTAGTCAGGGTGGAGACAGCAGCCCACACCTCCTCCATGCCTGTCCCCCATGTACCCCCACTCAAGGCCACCCCTTGGCTCTCACCTTCTCTGCACGGAGCTGCTGCACCAGCCGGTCCTGCTCCCTCACCACCTTGTTCTGCTCACACAATTTGCCCAGCAACTTCTGGGGTTCCGAGGGGGTGGGGGACAGGAAGGGAGAGAGAAGGGGGTGAAGAACAGTTGATGGGGACCTGAGACTTGGGTTGGCGGGGCCCGGCCTCTGGATACCGCCTCCTTTCCCCTGCTGAGAAACCCTTGCCCTTCACCTTGACTTTGGAAATTCCTGGGAACAGGGAGATGGTCTTTACCCTGGGAGACTCCCAAGTACCCACTGGGAGGGGAGGTATGTTTATTTTCTGAGGAAGTGAGTCAGCTTGAGAGAAGAGAGGGCTGAAAGCCAGACCTTAAGCTCCTGCATTCCTGTCCTCCTAGGGCTTCCTGTTCACTAGGGTTGGGAGACAATGTGGCCTGGCCTTCCAGGCCTCCTAGGTGGATATGAACTCAAGCTGTAGGTAGGGTGCGGTGTTTGGACCAGTCTCAGAAAACCAGGGAACAATGTAAACTTGTTCCACAGTCCCACATGACGTGCTCTCCCCTCCTCTACCTAGCGTCTCAGGATGGCTGATGCTTGGGTCCTTCGGAGGTCTGGTCCTCGCATGGATGGAACCTCTCCTGGGCCTGCTGGGCAGACCTGTTGCCCAGGTAAGCCCAGTGGTGATGGGGGGCAGAGGGGGGCTGGTCAGGCCAAACTTCTCTTTGGGAAGGACTTTGTGCTTCCCTATGTGCACACCTTTATCCATGCCATCCTTCAAACACCCTGTGGCTCCTTTCCACTGAACCAGCTCTTGCTCTCTGGGCCTTTAGTTCAAGGCCAGCTCACATGCTATTTGTTTTGTCCCTGACCCCCAGCCCACAAGGTCTCACCCCTCACAATCCTGCAGAACCTATGGTCAGCTGTTCAGTCTGGGAATCATGTGCTGCCACCTAGTGTCTGCCACTACTCTGAAGCACCCTGAGGGCAAGGGCATGGCCATGTTCTTCTTTCCAGTTACCTAGGGACTACCACTGACCTCCTGACAAAGTCTGTGTTCCTACAATAAGCAGATCCCACTGCCGGAGACGAGAGTCCTAGAGCTCAGTGGGAAGCACACAGCCGTTGCAGGAGGCAGGGATGAGTGGGGAGAGTGAGACAAGGAGGTGAGGAGGAACAGGCAGAATGTTGTCTTTGCAGTGAGAAAGGACGGGGATCAAATGTATGAAGAGCCGTGGGGAGGAGAGGCCCCATGGAGGAGCCGGAGGACGAGGATGAGGACAACAGCGGGAGGGGCTGGAGTGCACAGAGGGAGCAGGAGAGCTGCTCTTACATCTGTATCTTGCTCGTTTAACTTGTAGGTGTGGAGGCTGTCCCGGAACACTTCTGGGTACGGAGGGACCTGCAGGAACAGGAGGCCGGTTACTGCAGCAGAGGACAGAAGGGCATGTGTAGGCGGAAAAGTGACAACCTTTGCTCCTTTTTTGCCAGAGACTGCAGTGCCTCACCTCTGGTAGCTTCCATCTGGGGCCCTGAGCTGAGCTAATTCTGAGCCCTGGCTGAGCAGCCTGGAATGGCCCAGTCTCAGCTCCATCGCAACTGTCCTAGGCTGACCATGGAGACAGAGATGCTGCTCAGCTCCTGCCTGTATCTCCCCTTCCCTAAGCTCTAGGATCTCCAGCTGAGAGGGATTCCAAGGGTGCAGAGCTCCTGACAGCCTTTTGGCAATGACCATAAGAACAGTGGTGAACCCTCAGCTGTTTCTGAGAACAAGTCATGGGAGAATAGAATAAGCATTGGAAATATTTGAGAATTATTGACCTCGTAGATCGAACACCAGTCACAGGCTTGTGCTTAAACCAGGACTGGTACAAATTCAGAAGTGTCTCTGGGTCCAGTACATGCTCCCTACCCTTGATGACACATCCTGTAGCCACAGAACACCCTTCACACCTTTGGCATTGAATGGTTCCATATCACACCCCCATGCCTTTAACCCCAGTAATGTCTATGGAGAAGATACCAAATAAAAAGTGGAAGGCCTAGGCAATTAAAAAGCAGATTTGTGATCCCTGGCAGGCATGAGATGCTGATGCTGGCTATTTTGGTGGTTTGAGAAATGGGTCTTGGGTTTATCCATGAACATGAAGAATGGAGGGAACATGGTGGAATTAAAGGAGGGAGACCAGGCTGAGCCTGGGAGATGAGGCCTGGCAGATGAGTGGGTTGGGTGGAGCAAGCCCCATCCCAGATGGGTTGACTCAACCATGCACAAGCAGCTTGAATGGTGTTGACAGGGACCATGCTGCCAGGCAGAGGCCTTACTTGCATGAAGAGCTGGGCCCTGGGGGAGGAGCTCTCCACCATGCGGTTCACCATACTGATGAGAGTCTCGCTCTCACTCATCTGCAGCAGAGGAAGGAATGGATGATTCAAACTCAGACTCACAGGTATCTTCCCCAAATCCCCCTGTGCTTGTTTTCCAGGACACAGAAAAGGGCAACTCCTCTTGGGGACTGCAGCAATCTCTCCTTGGCCTACCCATTGCTCTCCCTTTGTGAACTCCATCTCAGGACGAGCACTGAAGCTGCCCTTGAGGAAAGGCCACAGAAGGAAGCTGGGAGGCCACTGTGCCCTCGCTCACAGCTCTGCAGAGGCCCCAGCCCAAGAACACTTCCCCAGGGTGCCTGAGCCTGGGTCTCATCCACATTGGCCAAGGTCGTCATCTCCTTGCCCCAGCTCTCAATTCTCACAGTGCTTTGGTAAAAGACCACACAGACAGTCGCAAAGGCCAGTCTCCCAAAATTTGAACTAAATGAAACAACAAAAAAAGAATAGCTGGGACCTGCTCTTTGGATGGGCCTTCTCAAACATATAGGCACAGGTCTCTCTCCCCCACCCTTGCCCACCTCTTGGCTCTAGAGTAGAAAGGATTGCTAAACACGGTTTCCAGAGCTGGGCTGGTAGCATCCATGCTGATCTTGGATGATGCTAGGGAGCAAATTAGGAGGCCAAAACAAGCAAGCCATGTTAAAGGGACACCAGATATTGGAACACTGCTCTCCCAGCACGTTATCTTACGTTTCAAGAATCATTAGGAACATGGGGGGGAAAGACTATTTGCCAAATGAAAAAGACAGAGAAAGAAAGAAAGATGAGGGAGGAAAGGAGGGAGAGGAGGAGAGAGGGAAATGGGGGAGACAAACCAACCAAATGAACCAGAAATGCCATCATTTCCCCCCCAGTTCCAATGTGACAGCATCCAAAAGTGAACACATTAGGGAGTATCTTTGGCTACGTCCCTTTAACTCAATTCATCTGCAGGAACAGGCAGCAGAAGGGGTAGTGCAAGAAAAGCTTTTTGGAAAGGAGAAGCGAGTATGGGAAGGGACAGGGCCACCTCAGGGCAGACCTTCTGGGTTCACAGGTCAGGAGGCCCCACTTTTTTGCCCTTGTCTTTCCACTCTTCCCTGGACCCACATAATTCCTGTCCTGTTCAGAGGGCAATGCAAACGCGGCCTTGCTCCCTTTCTGCATGCTGTGGATGACAAGGGTGCCTGTCCACTCCCAGTTGCAGGATCTACAGCATTTTAAAAGGCCTTCTGTCCTAGGATCTGATTTTTCTACCTCGTTTGTCTCATTGAAATTTTTTCTATGGCATATAATGTCATTTAAGAGGCTTTCAAAAGAGCAGTTATGATACCAGGTTGAGTCTTTGTGAAATAGAAGTTAACAGGACATCAACTGCATTTTCTGTAAGTAGTGAAACTCAAATTGATCCCTATCTTCTTGGGGCCCGTGTGTGTGAGATTGTGTTTACTGTGTATGCTGGTACATATGTGTGTACGCTCCTGTCTGCTGCTTGTGTCAAACCTCTGTCCTGTGTGTGACGCGTGTGTGTATGGTGTATGTATATATGAGAAACAAGGCAGACCTACCAACGCATCAGGCTTTGAGAGGGCAGGAGAAGCCCAGGCCCTTCCTGGATGCCCCCCAATCTCATGCTTTCCCAACCCAGTGGATCTAAAGTGATAAAGGAGAGAGGTGGGCTCTCTTCTCTCCTGTCCTCTCCCTGGCTTGCTCCCACCCCTGATGTGGTTTGGGGGTCTTCCAGCCCACGTGGGTCCTGCCTGTAGAAGAATTCCTGTGTACCATCTTCTGTCTTTCCAAAATGTTAGAGATCTCGTGAGAAAGCAGCTGGCCTAGCGCCTTATACATAGTAAGGGTGCTCAGTTAATATTTTAAATTGAGTTCTAGAAGAAAAAGAACAATAGAGTAATCATAGCAGCAGTTACCACTTGTTGCCAGTGCCTGACAAAATGCCGTCATTCTTACTCGAGTCTCCCAACACGCCTGGGAGGTAGAGAGGGCGGGTTCCTCATGTCCATTTTACAATTGAGAAAACAAAGGCCCAGAGAGGCTAAGTGATATTTTCAAGACTGAAAACAAATTTCTTGTAAATGGCAGAGCTGGAACTAAAGTGCCACATCTGACTTTATGTTCCGGACTCTTATCATATAAAACTGCCTTTTAAGAATATCTAGAATATCTGTTTATCTAGGAGGAGATCTCGGAGAGGTTATTTCTGAAGCTCCCAGCCTAAGGGCCCCACCCCTCTGAGGGGACAAAAGCCCAGGAAAAGTCACTGAGGTCTGAATTGAATAACAGGCCTGTCTATGGCCATACCACCCCGAACGTGCCCAATCTCATCTGAATAGCTGGCCAGCCAGGCACTGTGGGTGGACCACAGGGAGGAAAGCCTGCCCAGAGGCTAGGGGCACAGAGCCCTGCTCCTCACCACTCCCCGGGACAGCAGAACCTGCTCCTGTTGGGGGAGGGGAAGGGGTCAGTGCGTCCAGGCCTGCTCGGGACTGGCATCCTCAACCGGATCCCCACAGGGACTGGACAACACACGCTGCTTTCTGGAATTAAACTGCAGTACCCTGAGGGCTGGGTGCCTTCCCTGTTGATTAAAATACAGATCTCAGTGTTTCCAGTGCCCAAGGTCGTCACAAGGATAAACGCACAAACACAGGGAGGCCCAGTGAGATGCTGGTCACATGGCCTGAGACTAGTACCACCAACGGTCACAGCCACACCCTCAGATTTCACATTCATGGTGCTTTCTACAACTCTGAGAGCACGAAATCATCTTGATGAGGCTTGACCCCAGCTTCTTCATATATTAGATACTTTCCTTGGCTGTAAACCAGGTCAAAAGCTCAGAATCATATTCCAAGCTCTGCCACACACTGGCTGTGTGTCCTCAAAATGTTTCCTAACCTTTCTGTGCTTTCGTTTTACCAGTTATAAAATGGGGATAATCAAAGTGCCCACCTTGCAGTGTTGTTATAAAGATTAAATGAGTTAGGTTCTGTAAGGTGCTTAGAATAGCAGGGAGCAGGGAGGAGGCACCCCATTATGGTAGCTGCTGCCATTGTTATTTATCATCATTACTGTCATTCTTTTCACCACTGCCCCAGGCCGCCCCCATAGGACAGTGTGTGCGTGGCCAGGCCCCCCATGATCTGTAGCGCACATCTGAACATAGGAATAGGTGCTCAGATAAATGCCCAGCATGTGGACCACGGCCTGTCTAAAGTCGCAGAGTGCCGCACGGGTGTGCAGTCCTCAATTCACACACTGTGGAGTTTAACAAGAACCTGTGGAGTACGATAGAATAATCTCCCAGATTTGCATTTAACAAAATCCTAGCATTTAAGGCCCAAGCAAGGAGCTCCCTCTCATTTCTGCTACTCTCTTCAGCCAAGATGCAAATTCCTGCCTGTCTCCTGGGGGGCATTTCCATTTAGGCCTAACACACAAGAGGTAGCATTAATTATTCATGTGGTCGTTTATATTCTCTTTTTTCCCAAGAAACTCCAGGCTGCCCTAAAGAGCTTTGAAGACAAGGGGTGTGAAGGCGCAAACCAAAATATAAGCCACTTTGTTGTGTCCTGATTGTGCCAACAAAGGTTGTCAAATGGATGGACGATGAGGAGGTGGGAAGGAGGTAGGAAGCGAGGAGTCAGGGCAGGAGCAGGGGGCAGCAAGGGAGCACCAGCTCTGCCTACCTGCTGATCCAAATACTCTAGGTTTCTTTGCAACTGAAGGTCTAAAAGTTCATCCTACCGGGAGAGCCCGAGGCCCAACAGCAACACAAACAAACAGGAACAGGACAAAAGAAAACAATAAAAAGGAAGCAAAGCAGTTAAGAGTTAGCTAGGCAAGGAAGAGTGCCTCTCTATCCTGGAGTTCTGGGGAAGGGTGGGTGGGGGGGCAAGGGGCTGGACCACCCAGAGCGGCCTCCACTAGGACACAATCGGGCCCCCACTCCAAGGCTCCCTGGTCGGCCTGGCCCTCCCCCGGTAAGCGAGGCACCACTGAAGCAACCTGGTCAGCACCTCCTGCAGGTGTTTCGAGTTTTCTGGGAAAATGTTTCTGGATGGGTGCATTTACCGTGCGTCAGGGCTGGAGTTTGGGCACTGGCAGGGGAGAATGAGAGAGGGAACTGAGGGGCAGCCTGCCCTGCCAGCCAGTGTCTCCTACACCTGGCAGCTGTGCAAGGAGAGGGGCCAGTACCAGGCCTTTAGCACAAGGAGTCTGCTTGTGGGTTCCAGTAGGTCTCCCCAGTTCCACAAGTGGGGCATCTGCCTCTAGTTCTCCAGGTGGAGACAAAAATTCTCAAGAGAACAAATTCCAGGAAGAAACACAGTAGAGAGGGAGAGGAAAAGAGGAAACACAATATGGAAAATCTTTTCTTCCTCAGTCCTGCCACTGTCTCCTTCCCCAAAGTGAGGGGAAGGACAAGCTGCAGGCGAGGACAAACTGGAAGCTCAGGGGGAAGCCTAGATCATGCCTGCTGTCGGAGCTCCAGCCTGACTGTCTTCCCAGCCCGCAACCCGAGGCCCTGTCCAGGCCCCGCGGCACGCCGCAGGGCTGTTCTGAGGTCCAGAGGGTGAGCACATTACATGCTTCCAGCTCTTGTCCTTGTTTCTCTGCCCTGTGTCATAGAGATGGGGTAACTGGCACCAAACTCTGTTGGGGTGAGAGTCCTGGCCGGGAGGAAGGAGGTATCCAGAGGCGACTAAAAACCAGATGGGCCATGGGTTGGGCCAGAGGCCCTCCCTAGGAGCAGAGGTCCTGAGGGGTTGTGGTGGGGGGAGGAGAGGACATACCATCTTATCGTGGACCGTGGGGGGTGGTGGGTAGTTGTAGGGGTACAGTCCTGCAGGGACTGGCCGCCTGTCTCCCAGGTAATCATACTGGAAGAGAAAGGGAATTGGAGTGGTGAGGGGGTCCGGCTGGGACACGGACTTCCCCACCAACAGAAGTTCAAGGTTACGGATATTTGTATCCTGTCCCAGAGCAGACTCCAGACTGAAATGGACAGCATTTATCCAGTGCAATATCCTAGCAGTGATCTGTTCAGGTCCTCAAGATTTGAAAAGACAGAATCTTCTCTGCCCTCTTTTATAGAATTGAGGTTCTTGGCATAATCTAAAGATGGGAACAGAAAGCAATGTTCCTACATGGTGGGCGAAGCAAGGCCCCCGGGCAGCTCTCCTGGGGATAGAACCACAGGACCAGTGGCTCCCTGGGCAGCGCTGCTGGCTGCGTCGACACACAGCCCAGGGTCCCCGTGCCCTAGATGCTGTCGTGCCTCCACCTCTTCCCAGCAGATGGTCTCAGGCTGGACCTCAGGGGATGAGGGAGGAGGGGACTTCGGGGCACGAGGAAGGTGGAGGCTCACCTTGGGAGAGCTGATGGATCGCCTCATCACGTAGGCAGTGGGGTCGGCATAGATGTCCTCACTGCGAGGTGGCAGCCGCTCAAAACGGGCACTGGGTGAGCGTACCGGGGAGTAAATGTGGGTGCGGCTGTAGGAGCCCTGGCTGGGCGAGCGGGGCACAGAGTGGGACCGCAAGGACAGGCGGCGCAAGGAGCCCGAGGCGGCATCCAACTCATCATAATAGACTGGCTGCCGGGAGGGGCTGGGGATCCACACCGTGCCATCCTGCCGTCCGTAGCCGGCAGGCTCCTTCCACCCGCACCCATTGCGGAAGGAGTGGCGCTTATCCTCCAGGGCCCAGGGTGGGCTGATCCGGTCATAGGCAGGCATGGAGCAGATGCTGTCTGGCCGCACCCCTGGTGGGTAGTACTGGTAATCGTCGGGGTACTGGGTGGAGTAGGGGCCATAATACTCAGGGGCCCTGCGGGACATGGGATAGAACCTAGAGGGACTGAGAGAGAGGACAGTGTAAGGAACTGGACAGAGTGGGCACGTCCCCACTCCTCAGTAGGGCCCCAGCCCTCCCTTGGAGTCCTGCATCCTGGAGTGGCCTTGTGAGCACACAAAGCACCAGGTTTGCTTCCAGAGGTTCCTGGAAGAGCTGTCCTCGGAGCTCCTCCCTCAACCAGCTCCCTGAGGCCCAAAGTCCGTCGGTCAGAGCTTCCATCTTTACCTCTTTAAAATGAACGACCCCTAGGGAGAAACTTTACGCCTTATTAGCCTTCTCTATCTCAGTGTGAACCGACTTATCAGCTCCTGCCCGGAGAGGCCAGCAGAAGACAGCAAGCATACCAGACACCTGGAGGAAAGGCCCAGAGGAGGGACGGAAGGCGGCTTCCCCGATTTTACGGGAGGGAGGCGCTCCCCTGCGCCCCGCCCCTGGGCAGGCCAGAGGCCCCAGCGCCGAATCACCGGCAGTGAGGCTGTTACCTGCAGCTCTGAGCTGCCCAGACCCCGGGGCCCAGTGAGGACCCTCGGATGTCTGAAGGCCGGTCACCAGGTAAAGGGGGAAACTGGTACACAGGTCAGAACCAGGATCAGTGAGTGGCAACATTTTCTTTCTTTTCTCTTTTTAAAAACTGCCTATAAAAACTGTCTTTCAAACAACTAAAGTCTTTCAAAAATGGAGTTGGCTTGGCAGTTGATCAGTGAGTCTCCTCTTAGTAGAAACACGGGAACAGAGGATGCTGTCTGTAAGAGGGTCAGGAGCTCAGACGGGGAGATGTCTGGCTGAAACAACGTTAAGGCCCCTCCCTATGATCGCCTGCCTGTTCCTGGGCCACCCAACACTCTTGTGGAGAGACACTGGGCACTCTGTCCCTTCCTCCAGAGGAAGTAGACAGAAAGCAAAGTCAGGGGCAGAGAGAGCCACAGGGGGAGGAAAGGACTGGGGCAAGCTGGGAGTCCCAGGGTTTTCTTGGTTTCCCAACACAGCCTAGCTTCCAGAAGGCTTCCAACCAGGGCACCTCTCATGTTACACCACCCACCCAGCCTTAGTGATGACAGCACCCCAGCTCTACCCCAGGCCTCACCTCCGAAGTTCTTCAGGTGGGAGCACCCCCCGACGCAGGTTCACCCACTGCTGAAGCTGGCTCATGGAGCTCTTGCGCTGGGCAATCTTGTCGGGGTTAGCATGTGGGGTGAAGCTTGGCCGGTGTCCCCCACTCTCTGAGTCCTGAGGTGGGAAAGCTGTGCTCCCTGGTCGGCCTGGGGAGCTATACTGCCAGCCGTTGGGCTGGATGGGCCGCTCCCTGCCCCCTGGGACCCTTGGGCCCTCAGGGTAAGGGCTGCCTGGTTCTGAGGCTGGTTCCAGTCCAGCCTGGATGCCATTGACTTTCACCAGAGGCTCACCCTGGACTTCGGGCCTCTCCGGCTTTTTCTCTGCCTTCTCACAGCCTCGGCCATCCCCCTCCCCTCGAGTCTTGGCCTCTGGCCCAGGCTTGGGGAGGCTGTTGTGAGGTGGCTGGTGGAGGTGTTTGCTGGGTGGGATGTTTTCTGAGTCTGGCTTCTCCTGGCTGCAGGGTGGCAAGGGAGATGTTGTGAGTGATTCCAGCCCGGCACGGAGTTGGGTAGGGGGTGGTACACTGGGGGGGAGAAAGGAGTGAAGAAGTGTGGGCAGAAAGGTAGCAATAGGAACGGAATTTAATACATTTCAGTTCTGTTTCCCAATTAGTATAAAAAGTCATCCTATTGTGCCTATGCATGACACGTTCATTCTGCCCTCCAGGTCTCCTCCCATGGGTCACTCCACTCCCTTCAGCTGACCTGCCATTAGCCCAGCCTTGAAGCTGTGGCCAAGACTAACCTCACCCAGCCTGGATCTCCTCTGTAGTCTGTCCCTGATACAGCCCCCAAACTTGACATACACGATACTAAGGTTTCACAATACCAACCATCCTTGATGTCCCAGCTACAGAGGCTTGTCCCAGGTCAGCCCTCTCTCCTACAGAAAGTTCCTCAACTTCCATGAGCCCGGGGCTCCTTGATGGCAAGGACAGGGATAGAGATGCCTCCCTTCCTGGGACTGCTCTGGGGTCGAACACTGCCGGCAGCAGGACAGAGGACGGTGCCTCGGACTCCGCGGACACAGAAACATGCTAGTTCCCTTCTCAAAAACAAGCTTCTCCCGGCAGACTTTTGTTAGAACACAAGTTCCTCGAGGCAGCATTGCGTCAGAGTTCCGCTCCCTAGTTGTCCTGATAGAAACTGGTGAAGCACCTCACACATTTCTACTTAGAGTGAATATTTATGAAGTGAATGAGCAGCCTTCTGGAAACATGCCCCTCGGGTGAAACAAAAGTGGAATCTCGTTCCCTGTAGTTTCTCAAAGTCAACATCTTTAAGCGTCCTTGCTGAGACCTTGCTTGGTAACCATTTCTAAGGCACTAGACTTGGAGTCTACACTCTACCGCCTCCTTCTGGAGCCCTGTTAGAACCCCCTTCAGTGTCTAACTCAATACTCAGCTCCCAATTCAAGAAGAGACAGGCCCCCAGACTGCGGACGAGGGGGTGGTGGGCACAGCCATGCACTGAGTGTTTATGACGTAGCAAGCAAGCATTTTACATACTGTTTAGTCCTCACGATGACCTGTGAGTCAGGATTATAATTGCTATCTTTGAGGAAAGGAAACGCGGGTTCATGGAAGTTAAGTCACTTACACTGAGGTGGCACCGGGGCAAGTGACCAAGTTGGGATTTGAACCTGAGTCCACCTACCTCCAAAGGCTGCGTGCTTAGTGTGCACAGCTGAGACAAACTGAGGTAATGACCTCGGCCCTGGCCCCCAGGGAACCTGGCTTCTCTCTGGAACTCCGCCAGCTCAGAGAGGAGACAGAGGGCAGTCAGAGGAAGAGAACACCAGCTCTGAAATCACGCAGCCGGACACGCCCTCGGCAGTTCGAGACAGCACACTGGGTTCAGTGACGGCACGGAGCGCAGCACGACCTGCTTCTCCCTTTTTCCCTAGCACGCCCCACCCGCAGGCCCAGACCCTGGCACTCACTTGTGACGCACAGCTTGCGGCATGGACTTCTGGGTTGGGGGGATCTGCACTCGGGCTGCCTCCCCCATGGCCTGGATCCAGGCCTCCTGCTCCTCAGAGCTCTCTGTACTGAAGAAGTAGGTGCGCACCCCAGCGTGCTCAGCCTGTGGGGAGAGGCAGTGCGTGGAACCGGCCCCGGCCTCGTCCACCCAGCACACGGTCACCTGCAGGGAGAAGATACCCATGCCCACAGAACAGGTGGTCAGGAAGGCTGCTCCCTGGACCTACGGCTCCTTTTCCCACATGGAGCTCAGCAGTAAAGTGAGGAAGGTGGCCTGCATGTACACCAAGTACTCGGGCTGGCGCTCAGGTACCCGCCTTGGCCAGCTCTCTGGACACCACTGGGCAGCCCAGGTAAATTTACCTGCCCCACCTGAGGTGATTATAAGCAGGAGGGACAATTACCACACCCACTCCCCTATCAAATTCTGTCTTTGATTTGAGGGGCAATTACTGAATATCTGGGAGAGATGCCCACAGCACAGGCCAATCTCTCAGCCTCTGAGAAGCTACTAGCACTGTCTGTTTTGTGCAGAGACAGCCAGGTCTCCCTCTCATGGCATGCAAGGGGCATGCACAGGTGGTGAGAGCACACTACCTAGTTGGTGGCCGCGAGCAGGTGCGGCAGGCGGGAACCCAGAAGAGAGCTCCTGTCCAGAGGAGGGGTCCTCACGCAGTCGGGAGGAGGAGAAGCAGAGAACAGGTCAATCAAACACCAGAGGGAGAGACAGAAGACATGGCAGGAATATTGAGAAGCAGACGAAAGTGGGGAGCTAGTCAAACTGTCCCCTTCTACTGGTGTCACCATCGGGATGACAGGGCCCAGCAATGCCCGATCTGCCCACCAGGAAGGGGAGTGGACAGCTTGCACCAAGGGAATTTGGGCTGGTGGTGCAGAGAAGTCAGGGAATCCCAGCACTAATGCTAGCTCTGTTCCTGACCAGCTCTGGCCTTAATGCGCACACCTGTTAATGGGGAGGGGTCTAGCTGGTGAAACTGAAGATTCTTAGGCCACAGGGAGAAGAAGCTCCAGAGCTAGATTTCTTTCTGGGACCTCACCCCTAAGCGAGACCTTCAATCTCCCTGGAAAAGCGTGTTTAGCCCACCCAGCACGACAGATCCAAAATGATCAAGAGTCTCGGATGGGGACCTCACTGTGGCCTCTGACCCCCTGGGTGCTAAAACCTGGGTCTCTGGGGGTTGAAAGCAGGGAATACAGGTTTTGACTTAGACCAAGCCCCAGGGCTCTCCTGAGCAGCAACCCTAAATCCACACCCTCCAAATGCTGTTCCAGATGGACTTTCACCCCACTGCAGCCATGTTCCCCTGCACAGGATTTCTCCAGCAGGAGCCCTTTCCCACTGAGGCTACATCTTCTTTCTCTATGGACAGAGCAGGGCCTCCTTCCTCTGGACCCTGCTGGTCCCCACCCTCCAGCAAGGGGCCCAGCACAGAGGTGCTGAGAAGAAGCTGAGAAGCTGTAAGGAGGTGTCTGGGGGCTGGAACAGCACATGGGTGTGGAGACCAGGGGCTCAGGCCAGCCCTCTGTGGTGGAGGACAGAGTCAGGGTAGAGGGGAGACAGCTCAGGACTCTGGGCCAGTCATAGTGGGGAGCAAATGAGCGGATTTGCTAAGCATCTCATGAGCCTCTGTGAGTGCAGAGCACTGCTCTGGGCATCAGTCACAAGGAAAGCAAAGACAGGCTCTTTGCACCTGAAGAGCTCGTGGCTAGGCTGGAGGACACATGCAGACGGGGGAACCGGGAGGGAGCAAAGGCCTGGGAACAAGTGCTGGTCACAGGGGAAGGCAGAGAGCCTGGGGAGACAGGGCCACGGAAGGGGAGCCAGAATGGAACCAGGAAAGGGGACCAGAGAGCTGAGGGAGGTGCCCCAGTGGGGCGAAGTCCACTGAGGCCCCTCGGGGCTGGGGTAGGAAGAGGTTAAAGCATTCAGCAGTCAGCTGGGGAGGAACAATTCAGGCTCATTACCAGTCATCCAAGAGTCTCACTCGGTGGCCACAGCAGGACAAGCCTCCCATCTGTCTCAGCAACCCTCCCTTCCCTGGGGAAAGGCCTCTGAATAGCCACAATTGGAACCCTTTGTGGCCACTGAGCACAGCTCTGAGTTGGCTTAAAGAGGCAGCGAACGCCTTGGGGACAAAGAAGGAAGAGAGGGGCTGACAGTCACAGAAGTAAGGCCTGGGGTTTATGGTGGGTGGGTGTCAGTCATCGGTGTCAATCTGATGCCTGTTGAGCCACAAGGTGGAGCGCGCCTGTGTCTGCACAGGTCTGGAAGGGAGGGTGAGACAGGCTGTCTGCTTGTGTGGGTGTGCGCATGTCTGTGTATAGCAGGGTTTTGTTGGTGGTTAAACAGCCTGTCCCTATTTCCCCAGCTGGAACCCGGCTCCCTGGAGCCAGAGTTTTATTAATTGTTCATTCTGTTCACACCTCTGGCAGACAGGACCTGGGAGGCTGGAAACTAATTATGTGCCAAAGAAGTCCCTCCTTGTTTCCAGAGCAGCACCTGTGCATGCTGCCCACCTCTTTTCTGTGGCCAGGTGACCAGAGCCCGAAGGACAGGAAGGGGCAGTCAGTCTCTAAGCACTGACCCGGGGTGGCCTGCAGGCTCTACTGTCCAAAGCCACTGCCCTGGGTTTTCAGGCCCTTGGACAGCGACTTGCAACTGGCGGAGAGGGGCTTTGTGCTAAGAAAGTGCATGGGCAACATCAGAATTCCGTATTTGGAAAATGAAGGGGAACCTAGGGTCTCTACATCATAAAATACAAAAAGAGCCTGGGATTTTTATCATTTTTAATAGGTCATGAATTTTTAAATGTAAAAATACACTGCCTAGGATGAGCCAGCTGCAACCCTTGATGGGTTGATCCTGAGCGCTGACGGGGGGGGGGGGGGGCGGGGGACACACTCCGAGCAGGCAGGTGAGGCCCATCTTCCTGCACACCCGTTCTCTCAACATGTCTGCACGAGGTTTGCTTCTCTTGCTTGTAATGAAACCCAATTCCTAATTTTCTCTAAAGATTGAAATTTGAGTGAGTTTGATTGTGGATCTAGGTTTCTGGAAAGCACCTCAGCCCCTCCAGCCCATAGCTCCTGCCTCTGCTGGGCTCCCAGGTGCCAGGCCACAGGGCAGAGGGTCCACGGGCTCAGGAATTAACTGGGTGACATTTACTGATATACATCCCAACAGGGCTGATACACCCTCCTCCCTCCCCTGGAAAAAACTGGGGTACCACTGAAGCACATCCCTACTGACCCGCCCAACCCCACAGGAAACAGGAAGGGGTCCAGCCACGGCCTCACCTTAGCCTTAGGACAGCCTGCACTGAGTCCAGCTGCCCACTCCCTCCCTCTGCTACCACTTCAGACTCCTTTGGGAGGTGGCTCTTGACTCTTCCCCATTCCCTTATGCTCTGGAAGAACAGCCTCCCCCCCCCCATCTGACCTGGGAGAGGAAGGCCAACTGACCTTAAAGGTGTGTTTTCGGCTGATGTTGTCTGAGGGCTGCACGGCAGCCACCCGGAAGCTCAGGAGGGGGATGCTGCCCAGGATGCTCTCCTCCTTCTCATCTGCCAGGAAACAGAGGCCTGGGTGAGATGTGTGTGCACGTGCAGGGGGAGAGGGCAGAGGACCACGTCAGCCCTATCATGATAAGTTGCAATAAATCTTTGTTGCTCACTTACTATTAGGCACTCAGGGCCACCAAACACCACCACACAGGGTGTGCTCTGCACAACACCAAGAGGCACACTCCCTGGAGTTGGGGCACTGGGGTGCATGGTGGCTCTGCAGACATGCTCTAGACCTGTCTAGAGGTGAGTGAGAGGCAAGCCCCACCCTCAGGAAGCTGACATTCTTGTACCCAAGTAAGTAAATCAGTTAGAGCTAATGTTTTGGAGTATTTACATCGGACACTGTTCTGAGTAAAATGCCTTCATGGATTTGACACTCTCAACAACCCTTTGACCAAGCTCTGTTATTACCCCCATTTTATAGGTTAGGAGACTGAGACACAGGGAGGGTAAGTAATTTGTCCAAGGTTTCAAAGTGGTGGGCAAGTCTTTGAACCCAAGGAGTCCGGCTCCCAAGCTACCACTTTTAACCACTCCACTATGCATAGTGCCCGTCCAACATAAGACAATTCCGACAACCATACATGTAGCAGGATAACAGGATGGGGCATGTGGACGGTCTCCTCTTTGGTTCTGATGCCTCTGCATAACTGTTTCTAAGGCTCTCCCAGGCACCCTGCAGCTTGCTTTGTCCTCTCCTGATGTAGACAACCCCTCTCCCAGGCCCCATGTCTTGGGGGAAGACGTGCTCTGCATGGCCTCCTGGCCCTCAGGTCCCTGGATCAGGCTAACAATTGGGCTGTTACATAATTCATCCTGGATCTTCAAAGCAGCCCAGTGGATTAGCTAGTTGGGGCCTCCAGCTGTCAGCAGGAGACCCGAAAGGGCGGGGGTGTTTTGTGGGACAGGGAGCGAGCAGCCATGAGGCCATGGCAAGACCCTCCACACTTGCCCAGGATCACTCTTTATTCCCTAGGCAGGAGACCCTGTAAAATTCTCAGATAGGATTTATCAACTCTACTAGTTCTCTTTTTCCTCTTACTCATCACTTGCACAAGATGCTTGGCCCAACATTCAGCTCCCTGTGCCGGCCTCAGTGTGGTACCCAGAGAGGGGCTAAGCCTGAGGAGCAGAAGAGACCAGGGCTGGAGACCTAGAGTTTCTTTAGGAAAACAGAGGCTGTCAGCCCCTGGAGAGGACGGGCCTCTGTCTGACACTGTCCAGACCTGTGTTTAGGGACACTGTCCAGCCCTATGTTTAGGGGCTCTCCCGAGAGCATCTCTTAGGGGTCAATGGCCCCATAGCAGTGGCCCTTGAAGTGCACAACTTTAAGGCTCTGCCCTCATGCCAGCCCAAAGTCTGTCCTCTGAGGAGAGCCTGGCTCTCCCCCAACTTCATTCACACTCCAGCTGTGGAGCAGCCCCCTATCCCAGAGGCCCAGGCTGGGCAGACTCTCCTCCCCCAATCTTGGGGTTTCCTCTGTGGATGGATCCTATATATGCAGCCCCTTCCTGACTTTTCTCCTCAGAGTTCAGGTGGCAGCAACTCAGGGCACAGGAACAGCAGTGTTGTGGGGCTGGGGGTGTCACGGGGAACAAGCTCTGTTTGCCAAAGTTAATGATTCACTGAATTGCCCCAGGAAGGCCCAGAGAAGCCTGGGCTCTGCCGTTCCTGGGGCATGGAGGGCTCGGAGGGAAAGGGAACAGTCTCCCCTACTGCCAAGTCATTTTATCCTACTCTACCCAGTGCCCCACGTCTGTGTGACAGGACCACCACTGTTATCACCCTCACTCATCCCCTGTGTCCTCTTGACACAATTTTGCTGTGTACTTTTAAAAAATAACTTCCTAGAGATTGCTGAACCAATGTCATCAGATCTTTGCCCTCCTTTCTTGGAGAGGGTCAGGAGTGAGTGCTGGGTGTGCACCAAGGGCAGACGCCAGGGACAGTCATTTATTCCACATTAATGGAGCAATTAATTAATGGAGCACTGAGGATAGAGCAGTGAACAAACTGGACAAAAACTGCTGCCTTCATGGATCGGATCGTGCATCCCATGGGACAGGAGGAAGATCAGCATACAAGCTCCAGTTAGCAGGTGACTTGCAAATAGTGCCTAAGGACCTTCTTCTCTTTCTCCTTTTTCTCCCCCTGTAAGCCTCCCCCCGGGCTTCACCATTCGTCATAAGACTGTCCAGTCCACCCCCTGTATCTCCAATCAGGGCCTAGAACTCTGCTTGAAATGCAGTAAGCACTTGGTAAATACTGAATGCATGGGCAAGTGAGCTTTGTTTTTATCCCACTGTGACGCCCCACTGGCGTTGGAGTCTGCAGGGGAGAGATCTGTTTTCCCCCAGAGTCCATCCAAAGCAGAGCCAGCAACCTGGCAGAATGAGAAAGCAGTGGGCACTCTTCCCCACTGGCCTAGGGGCAAACTCACCTTTATAGTAGAAGAGGCAGCGGTCCACCAGGACGAACCAGCGCTTGTTCCACTGCTTGACGCCAGAGCTGGCCTGCAGGGCACGTGGACAGAGACAGACGGGGGCTGTGAGCTGGGCATGAGGGAGAGTGGGATGTGATAGGAAGAGCTCTGCACTAACTACAGGGACATTCTGCCTCTGGTTACAGCTCAGCCACCAACAAGTGTCAGCAACCCCCTTGAGTCCCCAGATGCAGGAACCTGACATTGGATTACTGCCTGGGACCTTCAGTTCTGTCATCCTTGGCCTCAGTGCCTTCCCCTATAGGGGAGATTAAAAGGGCAAGAGATGAGCCAGAAAGATAGAGCAGAGGGCAGGCAGGGACAGTGGCATGGCTGATGGGGGGACTGTTGGACTCTAGACTTCAAGGGAACACCACCACCCCTCCCCCCAACTTTCCATAGCAAGAGGGACCAGCTAACGATGAGCCAGTAGGTTGTTCCAATTGGGTAGGTCACCCAGCATATTCCAAAATCACTGTATCTGTCCGTCCGGAGATCTAGCTGGATTCCCAAATGTGACACTAATTGTTCTGTGTGATTTTGGGAAGATACTTGACTTCTCTGAGATTTCATAAAATTAGAAGATTCATTCACAGAGATATACCAAATGAGGAATGGGAGGACACACCACAGTAGACGTGGACTGTGATAACCACAGAGGACGCACAGTGCTATGAGGAGAAAGCACTGGGCAATGGGGGCAGAATGGCAGAGGGGGGCTCACCTGTTTGAAGAGCCAGCCTGCCTTGGTGACAGGAGCATTGGGGTTTCGCTTCATGGAGTGTGAGCGTTTGCCAAAGGCAATGGCCTTGCGGGATGTCCGGGTGGCCTAGGGAGGTACAGAGAGAAGTCGGCCTGACTTTGCCCTCTCCTGTTTTCTGTCCCACTGGCCAGGGGAGCAGCTGTACCTTTCTGGGGTCACCCCAAGGTGCCCTCATGCTGACAGTCCCACATGTGAATCTTGGATCTGTTACTAAGTCAAGAGCACATCCTCCTAAGTCTTTGATTCTTTCTCTGATTTCTAAAATAGGGTTCAAAAATAATAATCCTGCCTGCCTAACAGCAGTGGGGGCTTGGGGGTTTTCTTGAAGAGACAATAAGATTTTTCATTTCACTTCTTTTGCTGTCCTTACTTCTGCATCACCGTCCCCTCAGAATCCTGTTCGGCCCCACACGTGCCCCCACCACTGGCCGGGAGGGAGCACCCACAGGTGCTCCAGCTCCTCCTTGCAGGGGGCCCTGGCATTCCTCCACTTCTGGCAACGGCCCTTCTTTCCTGAATCACCGGAGGCAGATGGACCTTCCACCACGGAGTTCTTCTCATCACTCTCGGCGTCTAGAGCACTCTCTCAGTCAGTCATCCTTTTCATTCAGTTTTGCCATCCCTAGGGCACTATTCTTAAGAATGCCCCATTTGATGCCTTAACTTTATACAACGTTGAGGTCCTCAACTCAGAATCCTCCACTGTCACCCAGAACCGTCTCCCACGGCAGCACCTTAGACCTGGTTAGCACCAGAGCCCCTTCATCGCTAACGTCTTCAATTCTAATATTCCCATTTTCTGATCACAACGTCCCATTCTTTGGGCTTTCTCATTCCACTGGGACCCCCAGCTCCTCAATTCTTCCCTTTCTTTCCATTAGCCACCTCGTGGTTTTAGTTATTTCCCTACAAAGTGTAGGGCCCTTTGTAAAGTAGAAACCTGCACCCTCTTTCTGCTGTCTTTCTGCTCAA